CTCTCCCTCCTGTCCCCTCCACCTCCGTGTCTCCCCTAGCAGTTGGAGCTTCTCAGCGCCCCCCCTCCCCTCCCCTTCCCTCCTGGGGTCATTGACCCAAATAACTGGCCTCTTCTTGGCCATCCGTCTTTGATGGCAAGGTCTGTAGTCGATTAGAGCCCAGATTCCAGGAGCAGCCATACGATCAATAACTATTTACTGAGTGCCCACTGTGTGCCGGGCACTGCCTGGGCCCCAGGCGGGTAAGTGGACAAATAGACAGCAGTCCCTGCCCCATGGGCCGACACTCTGGTAGGTGGACACAGGCCGTGAACACACAGAATAGATGAGTGTAGGGCATGTTAGAAAGGACACAGGCCAAGGAAAAAGAAAAGATCAGGAGAGGGTAAGGGATATTGGGGTGATATGTGAGCCCCAGGGTACCCACCGGCTCACCGATCGCCCGTATAGAATCTCTTCACCTCTAAGCTTCAGTGTTCGCCTTTGTGCGATGGGGACTTAAAGCCTGTTTACGAATTGGCTGTGACAGTTAAGGGACACGTGCTTAGCTCTAGTCTGGCTCAGAGCAAGTGTTAAGTACGAGGGCATGATCAATACGCTTGGTAGCAGTAGTAAATCTATCTTAAACACTTAAAGACGGACAGCAAGTCACAAGTGTCTACAATGTCCAAACTGCTCCAGGTCCCATGAAGCTGTCAGAAAACCTCGTCTCCTCTCAAGTAAGAGAGAGGCAGTGTCGTCAAATGATTAGGGACAAGGGCTTTGAGCTGAGACCGGAGTCGGACTCCTGGTCTGCCTTTAGCCAGGTGTGGGCCCTGGCGAGTCACTTCACTGCCACCGCGCCCTTCAGGGGAGGCCAGGTGGTCTGCAGGCATAGTGCCACCTCAGAGCCATCTTTGCACTTTCTACTGGTTCTTGCATGGGGCCCAGCACAGAGCAAGCCTCAAAAAGTGTTCCTTGAGTGGGCGAGTGAATGAGTGAGGGACAGATGACCGACGAGCAGGCAGAGAATGGACAAGCTGTGGGACACGCGGCCAGGAAGACAGCCCGCAGGCTCAGAGCTACGGGGACCAGCCTGTCCACGTCCCAACTCTGGCCTTCAGCAGCTGTGTGGCCTTGCAGGTGATGTCACTACTCTGGCCCGCTCTCCATCAGCACCGACATCGGACTTGCCCTGCCGTGTTCTCCCAGGTCTGGGCACAGTAGGTGGCTCAGGCTGGCCCATAGGATCTCACGGGGATGCTTCTGAGCATACTGGGTTTTTCGCCATGCGAATCACTTATTTATATTCTGTTTTAGTGCACAGGGATGTACGTACATGTGAGGATGGCCATGACAGAATACTTTTGAATAGTCGCAAAACAGAAATGATCTAGATGTCCAGTAACAGGGGATTACTTACATAATCTGTGGCCCATCCACAGGACAAAGTGCCCAACAGCCATTGAAAAATGATGGGCTGTCATGGAAACGTAGCCAAATTTATGTTTGTTAAGTGAAAAGGGTAGGTTATTTTTTTAAAGGTCATATAATACAATATATTTTTAAATCCATGTAGATACAGTTTGTTTAACATATTTTTTCTGGTTATTAAATTAATACTTGGTTGTTGAAAAATATTTCAATAATTGGAAATGAGACAAGTGAGAATCTGTTTATAACCTAACCGCCTTATGTTAACGCATAGCCTCCAGGCAGTAGGATTACACCTATATCATCTGTATTTATTGAATTTATTGCAGCCAGAATATAACATTTTGATAATAAGAAAAAAAATAAGGCTATTGATAAAATTATACTGTTATAAACTGGCTAGTTATTTCCCGGGTGTATATCCTATCTGCCCAACTAGACTTCAGGAAGAGATCAGTGAAAGTATAGATTCAATGAATGAATGAATGAATTCAAAGTTCTTGAGATGTGGGACTGTGTGGCCGGTGGTCAGTGCTCATAAATGGAGTGGCGCATGGGTCTTAGCTGCCTGAGAATGCGAACAGGGTCCCCTCACCTTACGGAGGGAGGCCAAGATGCTGACACAGGCCCCTGGGTATTAATAGCCGCTCTCTGGGCTGGGCTCCTCTGCTCCTCCTAAGGTCGGACGAGGTCATGGACCCCGCCCAGGGAGAGTGAGGCGAGAGCCCTGGTGGAAAGCTGAGAGCATGCATCCCCCATGGTCTGAGGGATCTGAGTCCAGAGGCCCTTCTGTCCCACCCCAGGGACTTCCTGTGAGTTGGACCTCCCCTTTTGGGGGCTTCCTAGCTGGAGGCCATCAGCTTGTGAGCCTCGGCTTCCTCATCTGCAAAATGCAGATGAGATCCCAACTTCACGGGAAAGTCGGTTATACGGTATCAATAAGCTAAAGCACATACAGAGAGCTCAGTACGCTGCCTGGTCTCTCTGTGTTCTGTGCACGTGTTCATGTACACCTGTCCTGGGTCCAGTGTAAGGCGGCACAGGTCATCATACTATACCCAAGAGGACAGGATGTGACAGCCTGGGACATCCTCTTACGTGGCAGTGTCTCAATGGAACACTCTAGAAAAGGAATGCCAAGGAGTCTGCAAGGAAATTCAGACCGAGGGCTCCTGGAGTCTGGCTCCACGCCAGGCAGGTATGGAGCAGGGGCTGGACCTTGGGGGTGGGTCCTTACGAAGGGGGCACTCAAGGGAAAAAATGTCGTCTGTTAAACAGCGTCCATTCCTAACCCACAGTGCCGAAGCTCGCTGCGTGGCGGTTTGCTCGCTGCTCAGCAGTTCACAAACACCATCTCGTGGACCTCACCACGGCCTTTGGAAGGTGAACACTGTTATTAACTTGTTATAGGTGGAAAAACCAAGGCCCAGAGATGCCAAGCGATTTGCTCAAGGTCTCACAGCTAGATGGCGGCCGGAGCCCCAGGTCGTGCCTCGTCTGCCTGACTTTAGAGCCCAGAAGGCACTCGCCCCCACCCCAGGCAGCTTCCCGTCCTCTGCACCTGGTCGCCAGGAGGCTGTGGGGAAGGCCCAGGCTTTGCAGACAAGCTCTGGGATGGGAAGGGGAGCCACGGGCTCCTGCTTCCGTTCCAGCTCTGCAGACAGGCCGTGGCCCCCCTGAACCGTGAGACCAGGCCGTTTACTCCTGATTCTTCTGGTCACCCTAAACCAGTGAGCCCCAAAAAGGCTGTGGAGACTTCGGGTTCCCCCGGTCACCCAGGTGAGTGCAGGGAGGCCTGGCTCACACCCAGAATTCTCCTCAGCTGGGCCCTCTTGGTCTGCTCTGTCTGTGTTTGCAGCCTCTCTTGCCCACTTTGCTCCTTGCTCCAGCCCCGCAGGCCTCCCTGCCCAGCGCCCGCCCCCCGCTCTGCCTTCCTGGGGGTGTCCTCTATGACTCCAGGCCAGCCCTGGAGCCCTGGTTCCATTCCTGCGGCACATCTGCACCCTTGCAATCACTGACATGTGTCATTCCTATAATCCTCACTGACCCGTGAGCTTCCCCAGGACGGAGATGGAGTCTGTCATTTGCCGCAGCGTGCCAGGCACCTAGCACGGTGCCAGGTGCTCGGTGACTATTTATGGGTTGCCCGCAGCTGCTCTGGGGCCTCTGTCCTTCACAAAACGCAGAGCGATGGAGGCAACCGCCGAGGGGCAGATCCATTACCAGTCGATGAATTGCCCCTCCCTGTAATGGAAATCAAACCTTACAGAAGGACATTTGATGCGCCGAAGCCAAATTAAAGACTGATTTAAAAAAAAAAAAAAAAAAAGCCAGCCTGCCAGCTTAACGAAACGCTGTCACAGAGGGGAGGGGCTGGGCCTGGCCCCACCAGACCCAGGATGATGCTTTTAGTGACGCCATTCACTCCATCTGGTGCCCTGAGAGGCCTTCAGCATGGGCTCTGCTATCCAGACCGTGGGACCAAGTCCAAGCTGTCCAGGCCAGTGGGGCAGGCAGGCCTGGCTCACAGGGACCTGGACTACTCAGAGGGAAGCTGGTAAAGCAAGGCCTAGTCCGGGGCCCACAACTAGGTCTTTGGCCCAGGGCACAGCTGAGGCCAAAGCCGCCAAAGGACTACATTTCCCAGCGTCCCTCAAGGCCTGGGGAGTGAGCCATTGGAAGATTTAAATAGCCCAGGCCCGAGGCAGCGGCAGCGGCTGTGGACTCGTCCGCCTCTGGTGGGCTCGATTGGCTGCCTCGCTGGCACTGACGTCCCCCGGAGGCTGGTGGCGACCGGAGGTAAACAGCCATGTGCCGTCCTCCACGCTAACGGCCGCTGCGGAGCGGGCAGGGAGGCAGGCAGCGTGGCGGCTCTGCGGGCAGCTCCTGTCCTGGGGAGGAGGCCCTTGCCGCCAGGCTGGCGCCAGCCCTCACAGTGCCAGCGTCGCCATGCCAGCCTCCCAGAGCCGGGCCCGTGCCCGGGACCGCAGCAATGTCCTCAACCGGGCCGAGTTCCTGTCCCTGAACCAGCCCCCCAAGGGGGCCCCGGAGTCCCGCAGCTCCAGCAGGAAGGCTTCGGGGCCCTCGGCGCAGCCCCCACCCCCTGGGGACGGGGCCCGCGAGCGGCGCCAGTCCCAGCAGCTGCCCGAGGAGGACTGCATGCAGCTGAACCCCTCCTTCAAGGGCATCGCCTTCAACTCCCTGCTGGCCATTGACATCTGCATGTCCAAGCGGCTGGGGGTGTGCGCGGGCCGGGCCGCGTCGTGGGCCAGCGCCCGCTCCATGGTCAAGCTCATTGGCATCACGGGCCACGGCATCCCTTGGATCGGGGGTACCCTCCTCTGCCTGGTGAAGAGCAGCACGCTGGCCGGCCAGGAGGTGCTCATGAACCTGCTTCTGGGTGAGTGTGCCGCCGTCCGCTGCCCACCCCACCAAGACCAGTGGGGCCCTGGGAGACCGACCAGTTGATCTAATG